AACTGAATCATCGAAGGTCAGAAGCAAAGGCATTGGTTAATAGAATGGGATTAAGTACATAAAGGATATTTGTGTTGTTTGACATTTAATTATTGCAGGTTTGCGTCATATTCTGAGTTGCATTATTTTTATTCATTTTGAGGAATACTGAATCTGTGTTTTTTTTTTTGTGAGTGAGATGAATTAATGCATATTCATATTTATTTTAGAACTACAGTAACATCTTCTGATTTCTCTCAACATGGGGACAGGAGAGCTGTCAATTAATACATTGAAAAAAAAAGTAACTTGCGCGTTACTTATTTGAAAAAGTAACTCAGATATTCTCTTGTAAATTAAAAAGTAATGCGTTACTTTACTAGTTACTTGAAAAAAGTAATATGATTACGTAACTCGCGTTACTTGTAATGCGTTACACCCAACACTGCTTGTTGTATAGTTGTGTGTATAGAGTCATACCAGAAGGTTGATGAGAAGCTCTCTAAATGATTTTGTATCCTCCTCAGTGAGCCACTGATCTCCTGCTTCCTCTGCTGTTTTACGGGTTAAAATCTTCACCTCAATCTTTCCTGAAAAACAGGCCCAAAAATCCTTAATCATTCACATGTTAACGTAAACAATTATACTCTTATAGTTTAACAATAGACAAAATAACAAAATGATTATTTTTCATTCCCATACACACAGTTGATAAAAGAAATAAGTAGAGAAATTATGCATGCAGAGATGGTAATGAAGGCTATGGAATGTAGGAAAGACAAATGAAGTGCTGTCATACTCCTACATTTTCACATTCTGTCAGCCTAAAAATCATCTCTACTCCAAAACCAGAAAAACAGGAGCAACAGCCACCACCCTCTACTGACAAATGTGAGCGTACACGAAACCTATAATGCTTTCTTCTTTCAAAGCCATTCTTAAGACAGAAAAGGACATCCTCTTCCTTTCTCTGCAGCCATGCATAAGCCAGCATCAAGGGAAAAACAAAATTACTGGAATCATGAAGTTTAGATGTGCCTTAGTGGAACAGAGTCAAAGAGAAGAAAATTTGTGCTTATTTGAGGAAACAAGTTACTCAGAGCAAAACCCAGCCCCAGTCAGAAGAATAATTTAAGACTTTGTGGATGAAAGATAAAGTCTTTGCTCCACTCACAAAGACACACACAGGGAAATAAGAATACTTTAGGTGTGTGTGTTCCGGCCTACCTTCGGCCTTGATGCCGGCTCTCTCTAGCTGCTCTTTGACCACTTCCTGAATCTGCTGCCACTGGGGGTCGCCCTCGCCCAGTTCCTTCACCTTCACACCCCCCTCACCACCATCATCATCATCGTTGCCCCCGGTAACCGCTCCTGCAGCCACACCTCCGCCCACCTTATACTTAGTCACCCTGACTTTTACCTGCTCGCCACTGCTGCCCGCTTGGGCTTGGGTGATGAGAGACAGAGGGAAGGGGAGGTTACCGCGGATACGGCGGAAAATTCCCCCTCCCTATTTTATGTAATATAGTCTATCTCTAAAAACATCAATTGCACAACAGAATGATACTGTGTAGTATTAGTGGTGACAATGATTTAGTATACAGATAAAGTATACAGTGGCCCCACAAAGTATTTGGACCATAGTTTGCTGATTATAAGTTAATGCAAGCATTCAAAAGGTTGGGGTCAGTAATTTTTTTTTACGCAAGGATGCATTAAATTGTCAAAAGTGACAGAAATATTTGTAAAATTATATCTTTTTTTACTATTTCAAATATATGCTGTTGTTTTGAATGTTCTATTAATCAAGAATTCTGAAAAAATGTTTACAAAAATGTTAAGCAGCACATCTTTTTTTAACATTATGTTTCTTGAGAACCAAATCAGCATATGAGAATAATTTCTGAAGGATCATGTGACTCTGATGACACTGGAGTAATGGCTTTTTCATCACAGGAATAAATTGTATTTTAAAATATATTATAATAAAAAAAACAGAGAAAACATTTTAAATTATAATATCAAAATATTATTTTAAAATCTTACAAACCCTAAGTTTTTGAACAGTAATGTTATCACTAAAATTAAGATAAAAGCATTTGCATCCAGTAATTTGTCTTCGCGAGCAGTCAAAGGTTAAACACTTCAAATTAAGTAAAGTGAAAAGGACTAGCATCATTTGTTTGCAGATTATTGCTTTGAGGCCACTGTATAATGCATATATATCCATATCCATTATACACAAATTTACAGACATTATACTATCTATCTATCTATTAGGGCTGCACGATAAATATCGCACGATATTTAACGCGCATCTCGTCAGTAAAGCCGGTTCTGTAATCAGCGGTAAATCTCCATTAGATTATATATACATACCATCAGTTCATTCATGCACCTGTTCACTCAGTATCCATTCTGTATATTTACCTGGTGTTTTGGGAACCAGGTTTGGGCTGCCAGCAGAAGGGCCTCCCTCTGTCTTATGCTGTGTGTGTGTGCTTTTATGCATTTCTGTATTTTTTTCTGTTTCTAGTTGACTCTCATGTCCAGTCTTGTCTTCAAGACGGTCCAGAAGTTTCCCCAGTGTGTTTTCTAGAGTTTGCGTAGCCTGAGAGCGATCAAACTCGCCCTTAAGACCTTCATTCTCTAACTCCTGCTGAGCCTGGGAGATAAAAACATGAAACACAGAGTATATTCACTGCCAAAGCTTTTGGCTGATTGGTACAAGAACAGGCTATAACAGTAGTAACTCGTACTTCCTCTATGATGTTGTCATACTCTTTCTGCATCTCTTCTTTTATCTCTTCTATCTTGGAGGAGGGAACGGACAGATCTGCCATCTCATCTTCAAATTCCTGCAGCAATGTTTCATCCTCATCCCCTTCCTCTACCTCCCTTCCTGCTGCGCTCTCCTCTCTTTTCTTCTCCTCCTCCTCCTGCTCCTCTTTCTTCTGAGATGACTGCTGGATCTCTTTTTCCAGCTCAGCTTTCCTGTTCTGAACATAGAGCACAGAAATTAATGGTTGATCGATACATGTTTTTAACGGGTGAGTGGCTTTTTACTTGACAAAGTGTCTTAGAAACACTTTATGGCAGTACATTTTGAAAAACTGCAAGACAATGGTCATGCAATGGTCATAGGTGATTTTGCAATTTTTGCCTAGTTATTTTCCACAGTTACTGGCCAATATTCTCCAGAAGGCTAGATGTTGACTGATAAATCAGCCTCTGTCAAAGCCTGCATCCAGATTCAAAAATACTTACTTTTTGGTTGCTCTCTCTGAGATGTTGTACAAATTTCATGAGGTCTGCAGGGTCTGTGATGATTTTAAAATTAAATTTTTCCTCTCCAAATACTAAAGAGAAAAAGAAAGATGAAGGTGCACTGCTTTAATTTAAGGACAACTTGATTGATGCTATATTTTTTTTGTTTGTCACAAATTATTTAAAGTCTATTTAAACTTTGAATAATTGTCTTACTGTCATTTTGGCTGTCCTGAGGGTTCTGTAAGACAGTTGTAGATTACAGTAATGATCAGTGCCCCCTCAAAAGGTTCATTAAACAAGCGTAAAGGTAATAGAAAGAGTATATGGTTTATATTATAGATTGAAGATTTGCTTTAAACGATGCTGTACCTCTGAGTCAGTGCTTGACTCTGTGCTTGCTGGTTTGGTAACTCCCTCCCAGAAGTCCTTGTCCTCTGGCTCTTCTCTCACTAGGCCCCCCTCAGCTACTTCATCCTCTGTAACACATAAAAATGCACACACAAACACCGTACTGTTTGAATGCTGTACAGAAGCTGCTAACAAAACAAAAGAGAGAAAGCTAAAAAAAAAAAAAAGACAAAGAAAGAAAAACTAAGATAGTAAAAGACTAACCTGGAGAAAATCGGTGTAATATAAATGAACAGTAATGTTAATGTTAAATATTAAGGTTAAGAAAAAAATTTATACAGTATATATACACTATATATATATATATATACATACAAGCATGTTTTATTAAAAGATGACGATTTGAAAGTGAACATTGTAATAATCTAATTCAGTACAAAAAAGTCATGAAAGCACATGGCATCACTTTTCACCACATCAATGTCACATTTACACAGCACCACCCAATGTATTCTTTTATAACTGCATGATTTAGGTGAGGGATTCAGAGAGATTGTAGTTGAAAGGGTGTTGTGGATGGTCTAAGTCAAATTAGACTGACCAAACAAGTATAAAAAAATCAAATCATTGCATGCTAACCTTTTGTTTCTGACTCTGAAAGTGGAGGCTCATCTGAATGGACAACAGGGTCCTCATCAGTTTTGTCGTCCTGCAATCCCTTGTTCTTGTCATCCTTGGACAGAATTTCATCCAGGTTCTTGAGCTCCTCCGAGATCTGCTCCACTTTACGTTTAGTGTCAGCTGAGTACAGAGAAACAGGGAATGTTGCTACAAAGAGAGATGACAATGAGCTTAAAATAATGCATCAATTAGAGTTAGATTAAATGTAGGTTGACTGCATCTCTGGAGAGCTCATCTAACAGGACTTGACTTGCGCAGTGGGGACATTTTCCATGAATAGTGTAATGAGTGAAAAGAAAAAAAATCATGCCTCAAAATCAGACTCCTTGAACCTCCTTGAACCTGAATGCATACCATGTAAGCAAGCCTAAGCCAATTGGCACAATATTCCTCTACAGCACTATAAAATGGTGAAACCAGCAACTGTTTTAATGAAGTTACAGTATTCTGGGCTTTACCTGCTCTTGTAATTAACAAATTATAGGATACAGGTCATCTCTCCTAGGTGACTACGGTGTAAATCTGGTGTGCTAGAACTAGGGCTGAGTACTAATATAGCTTTAAAAAAATATCTCAAATGTGTTTTATCCTTCTGAATATATTCAATATATATTTCAATATTTAAAGGGTGTTCTTTCCATTACTTCAGCTAAACAAAGTAGTCAAAGATGTTTAATGCAAGAAGCACAATACAGTCAAAATGTTTTAAAAAATGATCAATAAATATTTTTCATGAAATAATCTATAAAAAATTATTTACAATTTATTTAAAAATATTTACCTACACACACACACACACACATATATATGAAAAAGTCAACTCAAATAGAAAAAGAGTTTCAATTAATTCACAAAAATGAATCTTAACACCATTTTTCCAGTTATTTTTTTAAGTCTTAATGTAGCATAATTGCGTAACACAACAAGGAAGGATTGTGAAACCAGTCAAAAGGCATGCTCTTGATAGCCATATAAAAGCAAATTAAACTTAATTTTGTATCACCAATAAAGTCACTGGAAACATATTAGATGTATTTGATATATTGCCCAATATGTCTATCGTTAAATTAAATAAGGCCTTGATGGAGGGAAAAAACAGAACCTCTCATACTTACAGACTTGAGCATTGACATAGTCCATATACTGCTGGGCACTGAGAGCAGGTTGGCACACAATGCCTTGTGGTTTGGCAGTGGAAGGTGGGCGCAGGAGGGGATGCTGGCATGTGCGAGAGGTGTGTACTGTTAAGACGTAGCGGCAGGACTGAGGTTCATCTACCCTTGCGATATAGTCACTAGAGCCCTCTTCGCACACAAACTGTTGAAAAAAACAAAACAAAGAAAAACACATTCATTTAGATTATCATTACCACTAACTCATGAGCAATAACTCATTCCCAAAAAATATATATTTTCAGAGTCATAAATTACATTTTCACAGTCATTAATGATGGCTTTGACCTACACTATATGAGCACTCAATCTAGCACATTTATATGGGCTTTTTAACATTCAATTTCAAAACTACTTCAGCCCTCCCTAACAGCTTCAGCTCTGCTGGGAAGGCTTTCCAATAGAACCCTTTTCACAGACTGTGATGACATGTTTTAACGGTCATCAGCATAAAGTCATCAGCATAAAGTTTTGTATATTTTAATTTTTTTTAAATTGTATGTAAATTTATATCACTTTACTTTTTATATTATTACCATTGCATCAAATTACAAAACAAAAAAACTAGTTATCGCTGCTGTTAGGTTGTTTTTAATTCAGCATCTATGGGAGTGCAGGTAAATTGGACATTGTTTTCTCTTCTGAATGCTGTTATCAGTGTCTCTCTATTTTTTTCCTCTTTTTGAAAGTTGTGAAAACACTATCGTGAAGTTGTTCTTTTACTATTTGAGTGGGAATGGGAACACAAATATATATATTTGATGTAGTCTCCCATTCACCACTATAAAAGTTTACCCAACTATGATGACTTCCTGCTGAGAAACCTGTAAATGTGAAAAAGGTCCATAGAAGTTGGGAAATGACTGCAGTGGTTTGCTCCTAGTCATGCACACAATGTAAAGTGTGCTGTTGTAAACTACTGTTCAAAAGTTTGGGGTTGGTAAGATTTTTTAAATGTTTTTGAAAGAAGTCTATTATGCTCACCAAGACTGCATTATTTTAATTAATAATAAAGAAAAATATTGTGAAATATTATTACATTTTAATACAACTCTTTTGCTATTTTAAGATATTTTAAAATGTAATTTATTCCTGAGATGGCAAAGTTGAATTTTCAGCAGCCATTACTCCAGTCTTCAGTGTCACATGATCCTTCAGAAATCATTCTAATATGATTTAGCACTCAAGAAACATTTCTAGTTATTATCAATGTTGAAAACAGTTGTGTTGTTTAATATTTTCGTGGAAAATATTATTTCGTGAAATTTTTTTTTTTTTCATAATGTAAAAGTCCTAACTATTACTTTTGATAATTTAATGTATTATTTCTGAATAAAACTATTAATTTATTATTATTTTTTTTTATCGTACCGACCTTTTCAACAGCAGTGCATACTGTGGCATTACGTATTGTCTTAATTAGTCCCCACATATATTTGGTTATGTACTGTGCTTTCAGATCGACTTTAATAGTAAAAAATGTTTTAACACTGGTGAACATTTGTGAGTGTGTGCAATCTTACTCTGACTTCTGTCTCTCTGGGATTCCCGTTCAAGTCACATTTAGAGCCATTGACATATGACTGACTATGATACCTCTTCATCTTATGCTGCTTAGATGCCTAAAAAATATAAAATGCATCTTTTATATATACACACACACACACACACACATACATATATACATATATATATATATATATATATATATATATATATATATACTGCCGTGCAAAGGCAAAAGACCGTAACTTTGATTTTACATTCAACACATCCTTTATCATGTGCATAAGTATCTTGAGTCAATTTCGTTGTTTTTCCGAGAAAA